GGGGGGGGGGGGAAGGTGTACTTTCACACCAGCACAATTCTGTCCATCTAACTGTACAATAAAGTCAGAGGAAGTTCTTCTGGGTGTGTTTCCTGTTTATGGAACTACCTAGCAAAGGCCGCCACTTCTCCAATTTCAGCCTGCTGAATCATTTCCGCCCTTGAGTCTTTGGAGAGGTCAAAGCTTCAAGCCTTCTTCCCAATCTCCCACTTACTTTTTGCCTCCTTGCTGTTGCCTCTGATGCTCCTGGATGCCATCCACAGCTTGGTGGAAATTAAACACTAAAAGAAATAGAAGAGAGCCAGTTTCGTCCGGTTGGTTTAAGGCACCAGGTTTAAAAAGGAGTTCTAGTCCTGCTTTAGGCATGAAAGCCAGCTGGGTAACTTTGGCCGAATTGCCTGGAGATTGTGAATTCTAGTCCCGCCTTAGGCATGAAAGTCAACTGGGTGACTACGCCAATCACCAGGAGACTGTGAGTTCTAATCCTGCCTTACCCATGAAAGCCGACTGGATGGCTTTGGGCCAATCCCCAGGAGACTGCGAGTTCTAGTTCTGACTTAGGTATAAAAGCCAACTGGGCGAGTTAGGGGCCATTCCTCTCTCTCAGCCCAGCCCCTCACAAGGTTGTTGTTGTGGGAAAGAGGAGGAGGAAGGTGTGTTGGATACATTCACCGGCTTGAGTTATTTGTAAAATATTAAAGGCAGAATATAAATCAGTAAATAAATAGATGGAAAGTTTTGGCTCGCTCCTCACTGTCTCTTCTGTTTTCCCAAGATCAGAGCGCTCTAAAATTCCTGCATTTTCGAGGACTTACCCAAGTGAGCGCGATCGGAAATCACAGTCCTCGTTTCCCAGCCTTCCAACCCTGGGGAATCAAAATGTTTCTTAATATTACAGCCCTGGAAAATGCAATCCATCCCTTCTCCCGCCATCAGCCATTTCCAATTTCGCTCCAATGCCATTGTCCCCAGAGCCAAAACGATGAAGCGATTTTTCCCAATTGTAGATAAAACGTCCATTACGGTTCCTCTTAGAAACCAAAGTAGCTGGGACGGTTATGAAATTCAGGAAGAAAAAATGAGGTTGGAGTCTTGGGGATTTTGGAGGAAGCTCAAGAAAATCTCAGGTAGACATCCATTCTTGGAGAACATCAGCTCTCTTTCACCTCGATGTTTATGAGAATTAGCAACCTCAGGATCATCACAGCCATTTTATTTTATTTTTTTAAGAGAAATTGTTCTGGATTTGGGGAACCAAGGGGGTCCCAGAACCACAATTTCGAAGGACGAAAAGTTTAACGTCAAGACCCTTATGGACTTTCATGGTGGACTTCCAAAACGACCTTGATGATGGGAATCCCAAGAAGAACATGCTGGCAACCGTTAAGTTTATTTTGGGAGGAAAATTAAGGCAATTGGTTCAATGCATTTTTTATTTAACTTCCTGTGCTTTTTCCTTCACCCCAAATTGATACCGAGAAGGACTCACCTGGTCCCTTCTTTAAGTTCTTCTCAGCTTCTTCAAAGAGTCCCGGAAGGTGAATTACGACCCCGTTCCCTGGAATAGAAAAGCATAGTATTTTCTCAGGGTTTTATTCTTATAGATCATCCTTGACTTACAACTGTTTACTTAATAACCGTTCAGCGTTACAAAGGCACAGGAAAAAAAATGACTTTTTTCCCCCCAGGACTGTTTTTCACACTTATAACTGTTGCAGCAATCCCTATGGTCCTGTGATCAAAATTCACACTATTGGCAACTGTAGTGACTCGTATTTACGACGGCTGCAGTGTTTCGGGATCTCGGGATCCCCTTTTGCGACCTTCTGACCAGCAGTCAACAAGGAAGCTAGATTCCTTTTACAACTGTGTTGTCAGGATTCCGGCAGTTATTCTCCATTTAAATCATGAATCTCGAGCCAAACTTCCAAAGGATTTATTTGGAGTAAACATGCCGGCACTGCCTGGGTGTAGCCAACTCTGAGACACGTAATTCACTGTCACCTTTGACCCTGGTTTCCCCCCCCCCCCGCCCCCTGGGTGTATCCTAATTCATATTCTCCAATGGGACACATCCATAGTCCAGAGTCATCAATCACGTTCTCCAGTTAGATTTTTGCCCAGCAAAAAGCTTCAGTCACCTAGTTACTATCTTTGAAAACATTTATGGAATGCACTTTCGGTTTCCAACCTGCCGCAATGCTCTTTTAAACCCCTTTGCCCCCTCCTTTTCTGTTGGCGACTCTAAAAAGACCCTAGAAATATTTTATGAGTTGACATGTGTTATACTAATTTAAAAACTGCCTTAACATCTGTGGCAAGGAAGGTTGTGGAAAAACGGGGGGAAAGCCACTTGACGGACGTCTTGCTTAGCAATAATTATTTGGGGCTCTATTTTGGTTGTAACCCGAGGACTACCTGCAACGGATGCACGGATGAAAGCTCACCAATGAATGCTGTGGCGTTGTGATTGATCACTCCGCTGGGCAAGAGATGGAAATTGTATTCCACCGTGTCCACCACCACAGTGTGTCCTGCATTGTTGCCACCCTGCCAATCAAGAGATATAAACAGGTGTCGATAAAAGAGAACAAAAAAGCACACACAGCTGTGTTTACACAACATGGACCCACCCCTGTCAGGCTGCACCCATACAGGAGAAGGAGATTCAAGGAGAAAACTTTGAGAAAGGACTTTTAACAGATTGAGTTGGAAGGGACCTTGAAGGTCATCTAGTCTAACCCCCACCCCCCAATCAAGCAGGAGATCCTACACCATTTCTGACAGATGGGCAGTCCAAGTCTCAGTGCCCGAATACAGCAAGAGCTGTCCATCCAATTACTGACCGGCTGTTCCAGTTTGCATCCGCCTTTGAATGCCGACGGGAGGCCGAGTCAGCCTTGAGGGCCTCAGGGTGGGTGGGTGGTGCTGATTTCTTACCCCACCCCCCCTTTTTTTTTGGCTTGAGGACAGCTCCCGGGTCAAAGACTTGTGGACTTCAACTCCCAGAATTCCTCAGCCAGCCCCCCCCACCTCCCATTGCAAAAGATGGGAATTGTAGTTCCCCCACCAAAGCTGCAGAGGATGGGCTTTGTATTCCGCCCATATGGGGGGGAGAACCCATTCCCCCCACCCCCGACACATACACACACGTTTGTGAGAAAGCAGCCCTGTTCAGGCTGTGGAGGATGGAATTTGAAGTCCCCAGCTGCAGAGGAAAGGATAGGATTCAAGTCCCCCAACCTGCGCAGTTTGGGATTTGTAGTCCCCACCCCAGTTGCAAGGGATGGGATTTGCAGCTGCCCAGTTGTGGAGGATTGGGATTTGGAATCCCCAACTACAAAGGATAAGATTTAAGTCTCCCAATCTGCAGAGGGTGGGATTTGTAGTTCTCCCAATCTGCAGAGGATGGGATTTGTAGTTCTCCCAATCTGGAGAGGATGGGATTTGTAGTTCCCCCAATCAAGAGAGCATGAGATTTGTAGTTCCCTCCAATCTGGAGAGGATGGGATTTGTAGTTCCCCCAGGTAATGAGCATGGGAGTTAAAGTCTCCAGCCGCAGAGGATAGGACTTAACTGGGGAGGATGGGATTTGTAGTCGTCCCCCCCAGTCGCGCGGGGATGGGGCTTGTGGTCCCCCCCCCCCTAGCCGAGGGCTCACCTGGCACCTGCAGACCAGGTCGGCGTCGAGGCTGAGCAGGTCGACCACCTTCCCTTTGCCCTCGTCCCCCCATTGCGCCCCCAGCACCACCGTCACCCGGTTCCCCGCAGGGAGGACGTGGGGAGCCGACCCCAGCCGGGCCCGCTTCCCGCCTGGCCCTTCGCCGGCCCCGCCATTCAGCAAACCCGCCGCCGTCCCCGAGCCGCCCTTTCCCGCCATGTGCTGCAGGCAAAGCGGCGAAGCCCTAACATGGCGCCGCCCGGGCAAGCTTCGGCGCCAGCAGTCAACATGGCGGCCGAGCGAGATTTAAGCGCCTTCCTCCCCTCTTCCTTCTCTTCTCCAGGTACGGCGCGCGAGAGCAGACATTCCCAACGCGGCTAAGCCAGCTTCCGCGTTCGCCTTTCTCCATTTCCCCAGGTAAGAAGGCTGGTTTGGGAGGCAGCGCGCGGACCCAGGTGACGTCTGCCGGGCACACAGGTGTTTCTGGCGTGGATCGAGGGCTATAATAATAATTATGGTGGGTGGCACAGCCAGCCAGAGGTTTAGTCCGGATTTGGCATTCTTGTCCACCCATGGAGTCCTTCCCAAGGATAGGCAGGTGTTTTTATTAAATAATATTAAAGGTATGTGTTGCAAGATGTCGGCTGTGCCAAGCCAAGCTGCCTTTTGCCATTGACCCATGGGGATTTTGTTAATGCCAAGGTTGCATAGGGCTCCAACAGTTACAACAGTTCCATTTTGTGACTGCTCCAAATCATCACAGCACCAAGTGACTTATGACCGCTTTTCACCCTTATGACCATCATGATCCAAATTTGGACCCTTGGCAACTGGTTCATACTTATGACTGTTCTGCTGTGTCCCAAAGTCACGTGTGATCCCCTTTCGCGACCTTCTGTCAAGCCAAGTCAATGGGAAAGCCAGGTTCACTTAACAACTCTGGCAAGAGAAGTCGCATGGGCCATAAATGAAAAAAAACAACAACTGTGGTGCCTTGGGTTCTCAAAACTAAGAAACTGGGCTTCTAAAATTGTGTTCAGCTCAAAAATTGTAATTTTAAACCCAGCAGGAATTATTAGCTAAAATGGCCAAATTTCAATAAGCAGTAAACAAGATCCTGGAGGCTGGAAAAACAAAGGATTTGAAAAACAAGGTAGAACGTGGTTAGTTATCATGGTCATCGAAAGTTGTCAGAGGACTTACTGACCCAAAATCTCATGAAGAGCTGTAATGTTTACAAGAAGCAGTTAATTGCTCTGTATTATGTCTTACTCCGGGCAATGTGGTTTGTTTCACTGTTATATTATGCAGACCAGCCATCAAAGTGTCTTTTTGGTTGCAGGAAGTAACCAAGCTTTTTAAGCCACAAATCGGGTTAAGAAAACTATAGCTTAGTGTTGTGAATGTTCCCTAGAGCCATTCAACTTTAAGATGGGTGGACTGCAATTCCCAGAATTCCTCGGACATGGGGGAATTATGGGAATTGAACTCCACCCATCATAAAAGTTACTGGGATGAATGAACAGTGCCCTAGATTTAAGATATTTTTGCTGTCCCGGCTCCCAAATGTTATTATATTCTAAGCTTTGCTTTACATAGGATAAAAAGGGAAATTTATCATGTTTTTAAACCACCCATCTCCCTCACAGAGGGACTCTAAATAAACATTAAAAAACCAGCAAGACACAACATATTGCATTAGAAGAGTCGTATGGAAAAGGGCATTAAATATATATATACTTTCCTCAATCCCTTCCAAAATTTATGAGACTTATATACTGTATAAGGCAGAGACCTTTCAATAAATGCTCCGTTAGTGAAAGCCATCAAGAGCAGAAACAAAACTGTCAAATCCTTCTTGTCATCCAAGCTTGGTTTTCTTGCAGACGTTTCATTACCAACCTTGGTAACATCATTAGGGTGTAAGGGAGAAAGGAGTTAGCTGGCTGTTTATTCCCTCTTCTATGCACCAATGTTATCTACTTAGGTGGCAAAACATCAGCAAAGAAACAGGTAGTTAATTCAAAGTAGGTAACTCAAGAGAACAAGAACCCAATAAATAAGGCTATATGGTCCTTGTTTAGCGACCTTTCAGTTACAACGCGGATAAAAAAAATTAACTTTGCAAGCTGTCCATGCACTGACAACCTATGCTAGTCTATACAGCAAAGGGAAGCAGCAGTCCGATCATAAGAGCTTGCCGGCAACTGCTTAAATACCAAGTTGCAGGTTCCAATGGTGGTCACTAAATGAGGACTGCTTGTATTCAACGCCCCCCCCCCCCCAATGAGAAGATGGGTTGCGAAGAACCACCGGATGCGAATCCCGCCCTCAAAGGCAGGCCCCTTTGGTTATCAACGAAGCAGCAGACTTCTGAGAGTACCCACATTCAAATTTATTGAAGAGGAAGGTTTTTCTGCTAAAATCAAAATTAACTTTCCAGAATGGTTTGGTCTTTGGAGATTGTGTTTCACTGGGGAGGAAGAAGAGGAGGAGGAGGAGGAGGAAGAGAAGGGCCCAATGCTTCAAACGACGACACTGAAAAAGTTAGCAGTGCAACAGAAAAAGCTAGAGTCAAGCGAATGGCTAATTTATTCTAAAAATGGAAGGTTTTTTTTTTCCAACCTACAGATGCCAGAATTGTTAAGAAAGGAAAAGTTACAGATGTAAACAACCACACAAAAGTTACATGTTCAATGGCAATCCCTCCCTCCCCATATTTTTATTTTTATTATTTTTTTACTGGCCGCTTCAACGTTTCACCATTCGTAAAAACATTTTTTTTCCTTTTTACTGCCTTCGGTTTCGCTTGAGCTTTTGTGTCTACAGCAACTAAGACATACAATCATGAAAAAACACTAACAGATTTTTTTTTTTAAACAGGCTGAATTTTTTAAAGGTTTTTTTTTAAACCGTTTGACTTTTTTTTTTATCTTTTTAAGTTTGCTTTTTTACAAAAATGTGCAGAAAAAGAAAAGACATCTACTAAAGTTGCTAAGAATTCTTTCTTTTCTCTCTCTCTCGGTCTGTTGGTCTAAGGGTGCAGCAGTTTCATTCATTCCCCAGTCCAGAAAGCCAGAAATCCCTTTTTTATAAAGGTCCCATCAGAAAAAGACCTTTACTTTTAAAAACAAAAACATTCTATTTCTTAGAAAGTACAGAAGCTAACTGGGGCCCGGCGGCTCTTTCCCATTTATCCTGTGATCCAACAGGTGTAACCAAGGAACGCCTGACTGTGATCTCAGCAGCTGGCACTCTGCACATGGGGCAAGGAATGCCCACAGCCAACTTTTCAGAGCCCCTCCACAATTTCAAACTCACACAAGCGGTCAGCTACTGAAGTTACTCACAAGCATGGATCGTCTTCCCTGTCTCACCCTCAGCATATGTGCGCTGTTTTTCTCCAGAAGAATTATTTTTTTTTTGTCCCCCTTGGTGGCCTTAAGTATTGAAAATACCAGTTAACTTTAGATATAAAAACAGTTGTTCACACAACCACACGCATGCACGGAGATCAAATTCTGCCTTTCCTTCCCCTCGTCTGTATCACCTTCCTTCTCCCCCCCCCCCCCCAATCCAATTTCCCAGGCACCTCCCGAAATTGGCAGAATTCTGAATCTGGCTGAAATGCAGAATAAGCATTATTATTATTATCATTTTTAAAATGGGGATGGAAATAAAAAGCTGCTTGCGAAGACTGGGAAGAGATTTCGGGAGAATCTATTCTTTTTTTTAAAAAAAAAATTAATAATAAAATAAACAGCCAACATTTAAAAAAAGGAAAAAGAACCCCCAAACCACCCACCCCTGAATTTAAAAAGTTTGAATTTCAAACAGTGAATCACAAGGAACTAATCTTTTAATCCCTGTGGATGGGAATCAGACATAATTAGCCAAGCTGGAGACAAGCAGCGCCAAGAAGCAAGGGGGTATTTACACGATGGGGAGGGGGGTATCCAGAGGGCATCCAGTGACAGAAAGACTCCCAAACCCTTTCCTCTGATAGACAAGCCAAGAAAGACAAGTTAATTCGATAATGTGAGGGAAAAGAGAATAGGGAAGGAGGAGGAGGAGGCAGACAAGAAGGTAGACCAGGAAGAGGAGGAAGGAAGGAGGAGGGGAAGAGGAGGAGGAAAGGAAGAAGAAGACTAGAAGAAAGAGAACTATGCTTTCAAATAAACACCAAAATTCATTTTCCAAGCTAGAAACAAGCGGTCTGTCCAACCCCTTCAAGGCAGGCTGTCTCCCCTTCCCCACATTATGTAGAGGCCGATCCGTTTTGCAAAACCATAACAACCCCAGGGTGATGGGCTTCCCCTCTCCCATCCTCACCCCTGCGCTTGACAGTATTTTAAAAAGCAACGTAAAAGACGACCTTTCAGTGTTCCACATTAAAGCTACTCGGAAGTTGAATTCGACCTGCTAGCACAATTTCCCTATATACATGTCAGGTGCTAACACCCAGGAGATCCGGCAAGAAACCCTGAGAGATTTAAGTTCCTTTCATTCCATTATCAAGGCAAAAAAAAAAACCAACTAAAATCAAAGAAGAAAAGAAAGGAGGAGGAAAGGACATAGATTCTGTAGAGATGATCAAAAGGAGCCGGCTGAGTCGCGGGAGGGGAGAGAAAAAAGAGCTACAGGCTTCAAACGGGGATGAGTGGCTGGTTTGGTGGTACGGTCGGCCGGAGGGATTTGTGAGCCTTGCTTGAAAATTCGGAGGAGGAACGGCGGGGGAAGTTTAGCCTCCAGTCTGTGGCACCCAACATTCACTGTCTGAAAACAGGGGTGGTGGTGATATTTTGACAGAGCGAGGAGAAGGGCCTGGTTCTCGCCCGGGAGTTACTGCACAACGAAAAATCGAATTATATGTCGACACACGAACTCCTCCCCTGGGTTTTAAGTTGAAAATGGGGGGGTGCCCCAACCATCCACCTTCCCAGCCCTGCACCCCTCCGTCTTCCCTCCGTTCCCCCCCCCCAGGAGCCCTGCCCCTCCTGTTTCTGTCCCACCCCGGCCCCCAGGACAAGCTGCCAGCCTAGCTGCTCTACCATGTCTTATTTTCCTATCCGATCATAGACGGCTTTTTTAAGTGCTGCTGCTCTCTCTCTCTCTCTCTCTTTTTTTCCCAGGAGAACAAATGGGGATTACAAATGTCTAAACTAGAGTTCGAAATGTGGTGTGCGGGTTTTGTTTTTTTTTCTGGTTTTTTTTCTCTCTCTTTTTTATAGAATAAGACAATATTTTTTTTTTCCAACAAACTTTTAAAAAAAAAATTTACAATTTTTGTTTCGGTTTTCAAACCTCCCCCCCTTCCCCCCCCCCTCTCTCTCTCTCTCTCTCTCTCTCTCTCTCAAACCCAGCCACTGCTTTCTTCCTCCTCCTCCTCCTCCTCCCTCCCCCTTCCCACCCCCCCAACTCCCGTTTCCATTGCTTGCTTCTGGAGAAGTGGTGGACGCTTCTCCCCCCATCTCTCCCTCGGTCGAGCCTGGCTGCTTGGCTGAAGGGTGGAGGCGGCTAAGGGGTTTCACCGGTACCCCTGGTATCCGTAGTAATTCCTGTAGTATCGGTCTCTGTCTTGATAGTAGTTCTGCCACTGAAAACAAGACAGAGTTAAGAAGGAACGTCCACGGTAGATTATTTGACCAAACAAGAAGATTTACCTGACTACAGGTAGTCCTAGACTTAGGGAGGCCAAGATTTCTGTTGCTAAGTGTGAACGATTGGTTTAAGTGACTTGTTAAGCCCCGTTTTATGAACTTCCTCGCCACTGTTCTCAATTGAATCGCTGCAGTTGTTCAATTAGTCGAACTGAATCTGGCTTCCCCATGGGCTCTTGCTTGTCAGGAGGTCCAAAATGGGATTTCTTGATGTGAGTCAATTGCCAAAGTATTTTTTTGAGTTCTGATCACGTGACCATGGAGGTCGTAAAATGAGACAAAGCTCACTCAATGTCTCACTTAGCCATGGAAATTTGGGGCTCAACTGTGGGCATAAGTCAAGGACTGCCTGTAGTCAGATCCCTATTGGAAGAGTAGTGGCACCTCCAGTTTTGGACAAAATCACGCCCGTTGCTTCGCCAGCACAATTTCTATTTAAGGACTACAACACACACACACACACGAAAATTGTAAAATAAGTGACCGTCGTAACTTACAACCATGATGGGCAGGCTTCATTATGGTTGTACATCAAGAACTACCTGTAAATCTGCCCGGGAAGGTTTTTTTTTTTTTAAAACCACCTCTTACCTCTCGGTTGTAGTCCCTGTAGTAGTCCCGGTATCTGTTGTAATCGTAATCACGTCCGTAGAAGCGATTGTAATCCCTGCCTCTGTAGCTGTCGTAGAAGTTGCGATAACCCTGTGGTGTTAAAAGATGTCGGTTAGAAGCATCGATGTCCTAGGGCCACTGGGCAGAAGCCTCATTCACAGGCCATGGCTTGCTCAAACCAGGGCCAGGTGTCGTCACCGCCCTGAGTTTCTAAGCACCTTCCTTGGACCATCAAAGGTATCAAGGTTTCTCTTTCCTAACCCCTTTGGCATTTGCATTCTCTAGACGGGGGTCCCTAACACCCACCCACCCACCCAGTCCTGGCCACAGCATGCCAGGCAGCACTGAAAATCATGTCCCCTCTGGTCCACGGGAAATCTTTTCTCCGAGGAACAGATTTCTGGGGCCCAAAAGGTTGGAGACCACCGCTTTTAAACTAATGGGGGGAGAGGGGAGAATTAGTGGTCCCATCATTATTTAAGAGCCATGGTAGCACAGTGGTTAGAATGCAGTAATGCAGGCCAATGCTACTGGCAGGAGTTCGATCCGGACCAGCTCAGAAGTTGACTCAGCCTTCTGTCCTTCCGAGGTCGGTAAAACAAGGATCCGGATTGTTGGGGGCGATGGGCTGACTCTGTGAACTGCTCAGTGAGGGCTGTAATGAACTGTGAAGCGGTACGTAAAGTCTAAGGGCTATTGCTATTTATTGCCGATTCGGCTGGCAAGGGCCACTGATGAATCCTAAATTTGCACATGTTAAAAAAACTTCCAAGAAAGCTAAAAGCAAGCAAGGCACCAAATGATCTCCATGAGCAATAGAAAATATTTTAAAATGCCCTTATCAATGTGTGGGAAGGAAAGCCAGCTAGATTTGCCATTATCACTGGGCAGCATAAAAATAAATGAATCAATGATTAATAAGCAAACATAGCATTAAACGCCTTGGGTGCAACTCCAAAACTGGAGCAACGACATTGACAAAATTCAACACCTGTCAATTGCAAACAATTGATTGGAACAACTTATATCCTGCGATGAAACCTTTAAAACCATCCAACATCCACATCTGCCTAACCCAGGTCCTTGGGAAGGACTCAATTGTGCGACGACCCACAAAAATAAAAGATATACTCACGCCTCTGTTTCCAGGTTGACCCCAGTACTGCTGTTGTCCATAGGCTCGATTGTTGTAACCTCGGCGCTGACTTCCTCCGACTGGGAAAAACAGGAGAGACAAGGAGTTAGACCACAGTTTGGGCTCGGTGAAATCCATCCGGATTTCTGATGAAGTCCAAGATCCTAGCTGAACGGGGTTTGCTGCAAATGTCCCCTTCTAGTACTGACGCTAGCTAGTTGGGTAATGGAATGTCTGTAAAATAGAACCAAGCTCAGAAAGCGCCAAAGACCCCATAGTCCTCCTCCCTCCTCCTCTCCACAAACATCAATCCCCTCTAGGACTGATGCTGTTGGTTGGGTAATGAAACGTCTGGAAAAAAGCAACCAAGATCTGAGAGGACTAAGCACCCCCCCCCCCAACTGGATCCCATCATGTGAGCCCCTCCAAATTGTTCCCCCCACAAGCCAGCAGAAATGCCAGAGGGGGAAAAAAATCGATTTACAGGGGCCAAAGAGCAAGCACAGACAGAAAGAGGAGAGTCATAATACACGGCTCTGAAAGGCAGAATGGGTCAACTCGCCCCGGGACAATTCAACAAACACAAGAACTAATTTTGGACGAATAACAACAACTGAATGAAACAATTAAGCCAGCGTTGAGTTGTCCCGCAGCGACTTGGCTTTCCTAGACCCTTGGAAAGGGCCCATAATTCTTCTGAAGATCTGAACAAGTTCCTGGCAGTTCAGCAAACCAGGACAACGGTACCCGCGGCCTGCCTCGCCCGCCTCCAGCCTCACCGTATCCCTGGCCGCGGTTGCGATTCTGGCGGTTGCGTTTGTTCCGGTTGTTGCGACGGTTCGTCCGTTTCTCGGAGGGTGGGAGGAGTTTCCGGGCCTCTTCCTTGTATTTAGTGACCAGAGGCAGAGCCTCTTCTTTCGCCAACTCTTGAAAGAGGACTTCGTCGATGTAGTCGCACTTGTCCGGAAGGGAGAAGTTGGCTGGGGTGGAAGCGATGCAGAAGGCCAGAGAGATGAGAAGGCCCCAAAAGCCTCATTTCCCCCCCCCCCCAGCTCCACCCCAGTCTGGACCTCTGAATGGACTGTACCTTTCATTTCCAGCATCACCGATTCTGGCACGCTCTCCCCTTCGGCCTTCTCCCTCTGCTGCAGCCTATCCACCCAATCTTCCTCGCTGGGCACTAGCACCACCACTTTGCGAAGGAACCCTTTGAAAGGCAGCAGTTTCCTCCGCTGGCCGGAATTGTAGACGTTGCACTAGGAGTGAGGGGAAAGGGGGCTTCAGAGAGGGGAAGCAGCCGGGTCACCTGGATCGCACCTTCCAGAGATGCTGAAGCCGTTTGGAGCCGTGGTGGCGCAGTGGTTAGGATGCAGCATTTCAGGCTAACTCTTGCCCACAGCCAGGAGTTCGATCCTGACCGGCTCAAGGTTAACTCAGCCTTCCGTCCTTCCGAGGTCAGTAAAATGAGGACCCAGGTTGTTGGGGGGGAAATAGGCTGACTCTGTAAACCGCTTAGAGAGGGGCTGGGAAGCACTGGGAAGCGGTATTTAAGTCTAAGTGCTATTGTTATCTTCCTCCCTCCCTGTGGTTAGATTGCAGTATTACAGGATCTACCAACTGCCAGGAGTTCAATCCTGACCGGCTCAAGATTGACTCAGCCGTCTGTCCTTCTAAAACGAGGACCCAGATTGTTGGGGGCAGGATGCTGACTCTGTAAACTGCGTAAGAGACACAGCATTTGCTTAAAACTGGCTCAAAAGATGTAAGGTCAGTCACATCATTGACCCATTTTACAACCATAATAGGTAGGCTCCAATAAGGTCCTAACTCAAGGACTACCTGAGCAAGAATCATTTGGCTTTTAAAGCTGCCTATGTCTATCTGGTAAAAGAACACCAACAATAGAAAAAAACCCAAGTGCGAAGTCAAAGTTTATCCATTCACGGAGTTGACCCAACAGGCTAGAATAGATCACAGGATGGCGTACCTGGCTTAGCTCAGCGTGTTTGAGCCATGCCAAATGTGGTTTGTTTGAGAAACCACAATAAAACAAAGCAGGGTTTGGTATTTGTTATGTGTAAACTGAATTGCAGAGGTCAAAAAAATTGCATTCTCGCTCTGCTGGTTCAGAATCTCTTGTGGAGATAAAAAAAAATTCTTTTGCCACGTTTGTTCTCTTTTCCTGGGACTAATCCATCTGACGTCTCTGGATTTTTAAATATAAATTACCTGATCGAGAATAAAATTTCTCCTTGTCCGGGGTGCGATCTGGACCAGTTTGCTCACGCAACGGGCAGCTTGCTGAAGCAGCGAATCGCGAGCTTCGATAGGCAGCGGCTCTTCAACCACGGGGCCTTTTGTCTGACGAGGAAGGAAATTGGGGGAGAGCAGAAAGATTAAAGGAGGGAGGAACCTGCACATTTGGGGAAAAAATAGGGAGGGGATCAATCAGGGGCAGTTCCTCCCCAAAATTTTGGAAATTATGTATCACCAGATCGGATTGGTTTTTTTATTTGAGGAAATCAGAAGGAGGACCTGTTTTGGTTTTTCTACCTTCATTTGGTACAAGATGTTGTCAGTCCCCAAGATGTTGAAACGCTTGTCCTGATTCTCCTGGGTGTGCTTCTGGGCCCAAAACGTTTTCCCACATCCTGGTAGCCCAACCATCAGTAAAACCTGGTTCAGGAAGACGAGAGAGAGAGAGAGAGAGACAGTAAGCGACGCCATCCAACCGAGGCCTCTGCAGGAGAGGATGCGGCCAAAATGCTATTAAGGCTACGGGGGTGCCTGGAAATGCCTCTCCGTGCAAAAAGTTCAGATCGGCCGAGACAGCCTTGAGAAGGAAAAAGATAAAAGGGAAACTAAGATACAGTACCCAGAAATATTTGTAGCCTTTTAACCGATCCACTGAGAGAGACAGGCACTCAAGGAGGGCTTTGCGCTGCCAAAAAAGCTGTTGGCCCCGAATGCCAATTGAGAATCATAGCATTTGCTTATTGTGAGGTATCTCGAGGACCAGTAGCATGACTGGCTTTTAAAAGAGGTCTGCAGGGATTCCGATGATAAAGCTATCAATGGCTGCTAGTCGCTATTTCCTCAAGGCTTCAGAAGCAGACAACGGGAGCCTTATTGTTTTGGGGTGCTTCTGTGGTCTTCTCAGGGACACTGATGACTGGTCACTGTGGGAATCAAAGCTCTAACAGACCAAGATAGCATTTCCATTCTTAAGTTTAGAGAATGAGAGATCTTAGAATTGTGGAGTCCTTGGTGTTCTCTGAGCTTGGTTGTTTTCTTGCAGAAGTTTCATGACCCAACCTTATCACCCGGACAAGGCAAGCCATCTGTTTATAAATAGAGAGTAAACCCTACTCCCTTCTAGCACTGATGATGTACTCTAGCTGGGTCATGAAATGTCTGCAAGAAAACCAAGCTCTGACAGCATCAAAGACCCCACATTTCAACCCCGAGCTATCAATATCGGTACTCTTAGAACTCTTAAAGAGAAAAAGGAAACACCACACAGTTTCTGAAACTTAAGGTTCAAGACACAGCCTTCTTCTCCCTTTTGGGAATTCCCTCACTCCTTGCCATTGATCAAACAGAGGGCACGGGAAAAGTGCTCACACCTACATAAAGGAGAGGGCGGGACACTCAAGGGCAGGGATCTTCACACTGTGCAACTTTAAGACCGGTGGGCTTCAACTCCCAGAATTCCTCAGCCAGGCTGAGGAATTTTTAATTCCACGAGTTGAAGTCCACCAGTCTTGTCAAGTTTGGAGACCCTTGACCAAGAGGAGAAAAAAATAATTTCAATCAGACTGATGTGGTCAATCCACGGCCCGTATTGCCTTCCTGACCTACTACTTCATCAGGCACCGTCCCTAAAGGGCTGCAGGTTCTTACCTATTGATAAAGATACGCAAACCGATGCTAGGGATCGAATTTAAGAAACACCTATTCACAGCTGCAACACTGCAGTGCGGACGCCACCTGATCCCTCAAGACTGAAAGTATCTAGCAGGCTGTTTACTGGGGAAGGGGGGAGGGCGGAAGGGAGCAAAACAAAAGAGACTTAGGCTACCTCACATTTTGCAGGCGCTTTGGGGGGTGCCGGGGTGCGCACACGCTCCTCCACAGGGACGGCGTGAATGAACAGGTAATCCTCAGGAACCGGGAAAAAGGGCTCGTCCTTCTGGCCGAAATTGACCTCCACGGCACAATTCTTGCACAGGACGTGGGGCAGAAGGGCCCTGTCCCCCAGCAATTCTTTGCTGATTTGGAAGGCCACGCCCAGGTCCTCTCCGTTCTTGGAGAAGGACAGCTCCACCTCTTCACTTTCAAAGTTCTGTAAGGCAGGAGACGGAAAGTGTGTGAGGGGAGGGGGGGTTATCGGCCCTGCGGGGGATTTGGACCACCCCCCTGGAGCCGTGGTTTTGGGGGGCGCTCGTTTTTCAAGCAGGAAGCGGCGTGGTGCTTTGCTGAGCGGTCAGCAAGCCAGACAGACAGATGGGGCATAAGGAGATTAGGGCAAAGGCTGAAGATGGCACTTAAAGCAGGTGGCGGTCTCCTGAATGAGACCGGATCAAGGAACAGAGCAGTTCACTTGCCTCAAATCGGGGGGTTTCGCCAAAGGCTCATGCCCCCAATCGAGTCTTTCCCGCACGGCACTTACGGCAAAGCAACCGATCACATCGGTCTCCCCAAAGGTCTGACCAAATTCTTCAAACTGCCCATTTTCAGCCTTCAGCCCTCGTCCATCGTAGCCGTAAGAAAACTCATCCTCACCTAGGAGACAGCAATGCTTACTCTGGCAGTGCTTTGGACACACACACCCCGCCCCCATTCCTAGCCTCCTCATTACTAACCCAGGAAGGGTCAGCTGAGCTTTTCTTGGGAGGTCACTTAGAAGGGCGACTTACCTAGCTGGGAACGAGAGAGGTCGACAGACCATCCGACCCGGAGCAGCTGAGTCTCTGTGCAGCCTTCCTTGAGGGGCAGGTTTTGTATCACCTAAGACAGGGAGGGGAAGACCAAAAACACCAGGTGATGGGAAACAGGCGGAGAGAAGATGTGAATCTCCCTTCCTGGCCAGTTTCCCCTTCGAGTTCCCTGCTTCTGTAAGACTTGATTCTGATAAAAAAGTACCGTGTGAATAACAGCTTAAGCAATTTGACTTCCCGGTCAATTCATTTATAATACAAATAATCCTCGACTTACAAGCACTTAACAACAGTTCAAAGTTACAGTGGCACCGAGAAAAGGGACTTACAACCAGTCTTCGCACTCATGACTGGCTGCAGTGTTGCCACAGCATGCCAAGGTCACGTGATCACCATTTGCAATCTTCCCAGCTGGTGTCTTGACAAGAAAAGTCAATGGGGCAAGCTGGATTTGCGGAACGACCGCACAATTCGCTTAATAACGCAGTGATCTGCTTAACAGCTACCAAAAAGGCTGGAAAATCAGGTGCAACTCACTCACTTTCCTTGCTTAGCAATAGAAATTCTGGTCCCAGCTGTGGTCATAAGTCAAGGACTACCTATTCTAAATGCTGCTGCTTTATGCCCATTAGCTAAGCCTTTCAAGCAATTGCAAATCTACAGTTTTTCCTAACAATTTTCACATCGTCTTCTTTTAACGACCCTGTAATCCCTTGTGGAGTGGGGTCTGGCAACTGAACGGAGCAGAATGTTTTAGTGGCTGGATGCCCTTCCTGTCGCCAATGCAGAGTTTTGTTCAGCAGATAATATTCTCAGTGGGCCCAGAGAGAGAAATATCTGCCTTTACCTAGGATCAAACTCACAGCTCCACTTTCAGGCCACCGCACCACCCCTAGTGAAGACACATCCTGCCCCGTAAATTGAATGGAGTGCACCCCAAATTGGCCCTGATCCCACTTGGGACCAAAAACTCTTAACGTGGACTACCAGCCTCCTCACCTTCACCTCAAAGCAGACTTTGCCCCCTTTCACCCCGTGGGTGCTTCTCGCCCCAGACCAGAGATTGGGGAACTTCTCCGAAAACAGAGGCTGCCCTCCATAGCGGTCCTTGGTGACTTTGAAGTGAAGATCGCATGTATCTGTGTGAGAAACGGAAGCAGGGGCACGATGAAAACCAGAGTTTGGCTAAACAAAAACAAAGACTTAAGGCCTGCAATTATTTTACTACATCTGGGTTTTTTTCCCTGTTGAATCGGGAAGCGGGAGATTAAATATGAAAAACAACGTTTGGTTCAGTAAGAACAAATTCCACTGATTTCACAGAATTATACTTCGATGGGGAATAAGGCCGCAGGCTTGCCTTATGCACTGGACGATGGAAGCGAGGATTATGACTCAGATTAGTGTTCTGCTTCAAGAGGGCCATTAAAATAAAACCACAGAACCATTCAGGTTTTAATTATCTTCTTCAGGCAACTGGTGCTGCCTTGAGCAGGACTGAAATTTATTCCACCTTCAATTATTACCTTTGCTTTTGCTCCTAGAGAGACACGCGCACAGAATTGATACGTACATGTATCCAACATCACGAGAGTCTCATCATCCTCTGCCTTAGCTTCCTCTTCTGGGGGTGGTGGAGACTTAGATCTGCATTGAAAAGTACAACTGAGAAAACCATCTTTTAAAATTCACCGTCATAAAAAAAAGGTGTGTAAAAAGAAAACAACCCCTCTGCTCTCTCCCCCCCCAGTTCTGGCTTCCGTTCTTTGGAATACAGGTAGTCCTCGACTTATGACCCACAACTGAGTCCAAAATTTGTGAGGCATTTGTTAAGGGAATGTTGCCCCGTTTTACGACCTTTCTTTGCCACGGTTGTTAGGCGAATCAGGCTTCCCCGTTGACTTTGCTGGTCAGAAGGCTGCAAAGAGCGTTTCGCATGACCCCGGGATGCAGCAACAGTCATGAATATGAGTCAGTTGCCAAGTGGCCTGAATTTTGATCGCGTGACCACGGGGAAGCCGCAGTGGTTGGAAAGTGTGCAAAATGGTCATAAGTCACTTTTTTCTAGTGCCGTTGTAACTTCGGTCACTAAATGAATCATTGTAAGTCGAGGACTGCCTATACCCCACAGACCAAGATAAGGAAATTGCCGAAGGAGCCAACTTCATCCTAGGCCTGCCTGGTCCCACTCCAACATCCCAATCACCATAATACAGTGTATTCTGTCATCCTCATCATAATCCCTTGCGGGGGGTGGAGTCTGGGCAACTGAAATGGAGCTGACTGTTTTACTGGCCGGATGCCCTTCCTGTCGCCAATGCAGAGTTAAATTCAACAGATATATTCTCATTGTGCCCAGAGAGAGAAATATCTGCCTCTACCTAGGATCGAACTCACAGCCTCCTGATTGTGAGGCGAGAGCTCCCCCTCTAGGCCACCGCACCACTCCACAATACGGTGTATTCTGTGTTCCACAGAAAGGTGGGAGCCGGTACATCAATCGTTATCAATGCCTGCAAACCTTTGATAAGGTTTCTTGATTTGCTCCTAAGCCACTAAAACCGGCTCTCCAGATTCTCTATTGCACTTCTGTTTCGCTCCTCCGGCACAGCAGATTAAAATCCCAGCCCAAGCCATCCGTAGCTCACCGGCTGTTATAAGCCTCCTCTCGAAACTCAAAATAAGCACGACCGTGCTCTTCCTTCTCATCGCGCTGTCTTTTGAGGCCGTGTCGTTCACCGTCTGGCCCAGCCTGTTTTGCCTTCTCATCCTCATTTCCTGGGAAGAGGCAGAAAAACAAGCAGGCAGATTTTGTTTGGGGGGGGGGGGGAACATACAGAAAACACGCAAGCCCTTTTGACCATTTCAAGCATAGAATATAACCCTCACCTGGTGCTTAGACTCTTGAGTAGCCCAAATCCCTTGTGCCCAATAAATAAATAATTACGAACAAGCCTCACATCACATCTGTCTACTTTAGGTACCTATCACTCAATGCAACTGCAGGAAATCAAAATGGCATGTTTCATTTTCCACTTCGGAGTTCTGCCTTTCTGTAATGCTCTCAGAGGGAAGGCCTTTTAACATATGCATGATTGACATATACATCATTATCCCTTATTTATACTTTCTGGAAAGGCCTCCACATTTTAAAGACTAATGTGGATGCTTATATATTACAAAAGCTTTCTGAATGCAGAAAATCAATCTTGTGTAGATTAAAATCCCCCAAAGACCTTATCCCATATGTACAATCTAAACTTCAACAGGCCTGTGTAGTTAGCTATGCAATTCATTATGTCATTAATATGCTTCCTGCAGATAAGTGTGAAATTTTATTTCAAGTTCTGCAATTAACCAAGTCCTCACTGGGTATGGGGACCAACAATTTTGCAAACTAAAGGAGAGCAGTTTAAGAAAAACATACAGCTAGAAAAAACTGATCAAATATTATATTTGGGGCTTGGTATTTATTAAATCGCAACAGAGCACAAGAAGCACTTCAATTTCTTGCAAGGACCTAGCAAGTATATCAGATTTGTAGTGAAAACTGTATAAATCTCCTCACAACATTGTTAGAGAGTGACAATTAAAATATGCATTGCATTCCAAAACCAAATCTTACTGCCATATTCAAATGTTTATACTGCTCATATGACCATCACCTCAAAGTAAAAAGGAATAATAACAGAGATGGCTGTTAGGAATATAAAGAAAATGTTCAGGGCTATCTATAACAGGTTAAAACCCCAAAACATAATTTTTAAAGTATTTTCTTGCAGCTAGCAAAGAAGAATAGAGCAAATGCTCAGGTAATCATGACTTCCTATCTGCTAAGCACATAAATTGAAATAGTAACAATAATTCTTTAATTATAATTATTCATACAGTATCATCAGTATTATTCAAGTTATGCTGTGGATGACACTCAACTTTACATCAAACATATTCTAGAGCACATTCTATCCTTAAACTACTTTAGTTTTATTAATATCTATGATGTTTATGAATTACTTTTGTAGATATTTAATTGTTATGCCCTCTTTTAACCTAGATGAGAAAGAAAGCTAATTAAGACCATCCAAGACAACTTATGGCACCCAGGAATTCTGGAATTTTTTTAGAGATTCTGGGAATCCCTAACAACGGGAGAGGGCACTATGTTGAATGGGGATCACACTTTGTGACAAAACAAAATCAGAACCACAGACCCACAAAAGTCATTTCACAACATATTTTACACAAATTGCTGTGGTGCATATCCTATCAAAGCAATTTTTGGCAAAAAAAAGGGAGGGGGAGCAGAACTCTGTCCTAAGGAGCCCAATCTAAGATTTAGCACAAAAAGAAAGAAAAAAAAAGAAAGTTATGCTGTGTAGACTATTCTGCTACATCAGCTTTTAAAGGATATTTTTTTAAAAAAAACCAGAAACTGCCACAGCATTAATACATTTGTGGAGGAAGACTTCCACAGACCAAATGTCCCTAATTTCAAACATTGTTTCTATTTACAAAATAGTAGTTGGCAAAAATCAGCTACCTTTTTTTCTAGTCACCAACTAGTCTTTCAGTAGGGTCACCATAACCCTGATTATCTTTTGGCAAACTAGAGGATGGGGTCATTTGGGGTCACGATTTTGCTGGTTATGCCCTTGAAAGCAACTATGTGGATGCTGCAACAGTGTTCTCGAATGCCAGGATCCATCCTTAGTCATTTTTTCAGTGCTGTCATAACTTCAAACAGCCACTAAACAAACGGTTGTACCTTGAGGACTATGTCTATTTAAGAATGCCCAATACCCTTGGGCTGCTTCTAACCAATTTGTCCCTCTCTGTCAGCCCAACCCACCTCACTGAGTAGTTGTGATGGGAAAAAGCAGGGGAAGGAATTTGTCTTACCTATGTGTTTGCTGTCTCCAGTTATTTATAAAATGGCAGGATAAAAATCAAGCAAGCAAGCAAGCAAATTGATGCCCAATTCTCTGCCTGCTCACTGCAGGAAGCCAAATAGCAAATAAATAAATAAATATACAAGCAGACAGGTAAATAAATAAAATTGTATCCCAATTCTCTGCTTGCTCACTGCCAGAAGCCAAAAATCAAATGAACCAACCAACGGATAAATAAAAAAATGGGAGCCCATTCTCAACCTGCTTACTACCAAAAAGCACCCTCTAGTCTAGGGATTGTTACCAAGCCCCCCAGCCAAGCCATTACCATATTTACAACAAAAGCCTCAATCATTGCAACAACAAAAAAGGTGGGGGGGTTTGCCATCCCACACCCCGCAAAGCCAGGAGGGAAAAGAGAGCGAGGCACCAACAGGTTGTCCTTATTATACAACCCATAAAGACCATTATTATTATACAATCAGTAAAGACCAAAAAAATGGGAGGGCAACCAAGACCCATCTTGCTGAGGATGAGGGATCCTGGAGAAAGAGACAGAGGTGAGTGGCTGGGGGTGATAAAGGGGGCACATGGTGGGAGGGGGATGCCGGCCTCTCATCAGAACACTTAATTCTCACAATTCTGTCTAATGATGCATATCAACCCACAGAGGGTGGCTGTGATATTATTTATGCCTTTTATTCTCTTTATCCCCCCATTTTATTGGAGGTATTGTTATCATTGTCCTTGTTATTAAGTACAGCCAAGCCAGATGTTCAGGCTGCATCTGGCCTTGTTTTTCCCGCCTCTCCTTCCCAAGGACCCAGATTGCCCGATGGGGATGTCTGATGGTAACCCATCAGAGGGCAAGTATCCTAGCAGGATGCCACATTTATTTATTCTAATTTATTTAATTACAATCCAAACACACAGTCAGCCTGCCGTTCAGCCTGTATTCATCATCGTATTTTTATTTGCATATTATCATCATTATCATTACTACTACTATTGATGTAATCTTCGATTCGATTCAAAGTTTGGGACTGGTAAAAACTTAAACCATCCAAGTCCTCACTAAAGACCTCAAAGCTTTAAGATAGATTATTATTATTATACTTTATTCATGAAACTCAGTCAACTGAAAATGTATCACAAATTTTCTTAACTATTATTATCATTATCATTATTGATTTAATCTTCGATTCCCTGATAAAAAACACAACCATTCAAGTCCTAACTTAAAGACCTAAGAGCTGTTAAAGTAACACCTAAATATATAGGCAGTTCAAAGCAAGGTGGTGGGGTGTGTTTGTTTTTTTTTGGTGTTTTTTTTGCAAACTTCAAAATATCCAGGTCTGATCAGTTCAAAATTTCCACCTATCCTCCTCCTCTGTCGCCTTGCAAGTACACTGAGAGCTTCTGCACCGGGGACCGACCGACCGACCGACCCCTTTTGTGTCTCTTGGCCCAATAAAAGCAATTCTATTCCATTCCATTCTCTTCCTCCCCCCAATCCCCACCACACACAAGGAAAGAAAGGATGGGGGGGGGAACGAAGGAAGGAAGGGAAAAGGAAAGAAAAAAGAGAGAGAGAAAGAAAAGAGAAAGAAAGAAAGAAAGAAAGAAAGAAAGAAAGAAAGAAAGAAAGAAAGAAAGAAAGAAAGAAAGAAAGGGAGGGAGGGAGGGAAAGAGACCCAGCCATCCTTACCTTCCTGGTCGCCGCCCTGCTCGGCCTCACCGCCCACCGAAGACCCCGCTGCCGCCTCCGCCTCCGCCGCCGAGGCCTCCTCGCCGGCCTCCGCGGCCCGCTGGGCGCCGTTGACCCCTCCGGGCTGCGCGGGGCCTTCTGCGGGCTCGGTTTGGGCCTGCTCGCCGCCAGCCGACGCCGCTGCCGCTGCCGCTGCCGTCGTCGTCGTCCCCGCGGAGGCCGACGCCGACGCCTCAGGCTTCTCCGGGGGCTGCTCCTCCTCGTCGGCCAGCAGCGCCTCCTCGTCTTCCTCCTCCTCCTCTTCGTCCTCCTCTTCTTCCTCCTCTTCCTCTTCCTCGTCGTCGTCGTCGTCGTCGCCGTCCCCCTCAACGCCCAGGCGGGCCCGAGTGAGGCTTTGCCCGGCCGCCCCCGACTCGGCGCCGGCTTCTTCAGGCCCGGCGGCCAGCATCTCGGCGTCGAGGGCCTCTTGGAGCCGCTGGACCAGATCGAGTTTGAGGCCTCGCGAATCCAGGCCCCGCCGCCCGAGCTCGGCCCGCAGCTCCGTCACCTTCAGCCGCTTCACGTCCATGGCGCGCGCGCTCCGCGGATGAGGGAGGGAGGGGAGGGAGGCGCGCTCCGACGCCAACGCGCCTGCGCGGGCAGCCCCGCCGCGCGCCAGGCAAAGGACCGCGCCGCCCGGCGGCTACACCCTTTGCGGAGCGGAGATAAGGGGGCCCGACTGCGCCTGCGCGAGTGTGCGGCTCTTTCCCCCCCCCTCCCTGGCGCGCGTGAGAGAGACCGTCGGAGGCGGGTGCGCAAGCGCGGACGGGCGGGGGGAAAGCGAGCGAGCGAATTGAGAGACAGGAAAGGCCGGCCGAGGAAGAAAAGGGAGCCCGCGCAGGCGCGCGCGCTTCTCTGGTCTAATCCGCGCAGGCGCGGGAAGCCCCGCTTTTTAATTTTTTTAAAAAAACCTTTTCTTTCACGTTTGAGTTTAAAACGGAAGAGGCCGTTTCTTTTTGCTTTCTCCTTCCTCCCTGCCGCTAATATAATAAATAAGAATATCGTCTCCTTGGAAGGCGACTGACGCGGGAATATCTTTCCCTCACGTTGTGTTGTTTTTTTTGAAAGGAGAGGTTTGGCTCATGGTTTTTTAAAAAGCTCGTGAGCATGCGCGCGCGGGCTTTGGGCGCGCGCGGGCTCTGCGTCGTGTCGATTCGAACGAGCGTAAGGCAACTGGAGGAAAAGAACGAGGCCGAGGTTTCTGATTGGCTGCGGCTTCGCCAATCGGAGAAAAGAGAAGATGTTGAGTCTCCTGGTTTGATTTTTTAAAAAAATGTCCAACCAGTCTCTGCCTTGATTGGATGAAACTGTTTCTCTTTTTTTTTTTCAATTGGAGGTGCCGCCATCTTCCACGCCCTCCCCCCTCAGAAAATAATATCTCAGCAAAAGACAAATACTAAAATGAGAATTTTTATTTTTTTTCTTGGACAAGTGCAGCTTTCAAATCAAACCCTTTTCAAACCCTTCTATGCCATGGGGGAAAGAAACGAAGCAGCTTCATTGTTACCTGCTTAGCCATCTTTACCAAAAAGAAAACCCTCTGCTTGGACAATTCTTTATTTAAACCCTTAAATAAGAAGAATTGCACGTTTCATGCACATCGTTCATTTTTTATACATTAAACGTTAATATACATCATGCACCTCTTTACATATATATTCAACAAGTTGGCTAAAACAATAAAATGCAATTTAAGGAAACCAGTCACTAAAATCTCATTTATTCTCTTTTATCTCAAGAAACTTACTATAATTAAATCTTTGGGAAGGGAACCTTGACTTTCCAAAGGCTGGACAGATAGAAAATTGGATTTGATTTCCAATTTCACTGGCTATTTGTGAAGCTTTTTTAAAAAATCTCTGCAGTTTTATGCAGGCAAATATAGCTATGAGAGCTATTCTTGTTCTCACCCATTTCTTTGACAAATGTATATGTCCTCTTTATGTATATCTGATATCACTGCATCAAACACCTATATATTTTTTTAAATGTAATTGTTTTTTTATCCTGCTTTTACTATATTGCAAGCCACTGAATAGAAGCATAGAAACCTAGAAAACTGACAGCAGAAAAAGATCTAGCAGTCCATAAACTGCGCTTGGAGGTTTTTTAATGTTTTATATTTTTATTTTATTTTGTTGTCAGATGATGGGCATGTGTTTATCCCAAGCATAATATAATAATGTAAATTTAATAAATAAATATATGCTACCATCTCAACAGGTATTTTGATTGCTATATTCTTGTTTGTTAGCATCTATATTTTGGTCAGACACTAAGAAAAACTAGTATATATCTTTTGGATATCTTTTCAGGGAAGTTTTGATTTATTTAGGGTCTTCCTAAAATGTAATATTTTGGAATTTTCTATCCTAAATAACTATGAATGGAGTTTCTTCTTTGTTAATTGCATCAACATTCGTCCCAAGGATAATCTTCTCCTTTTTAATTTTCTTCTAGAACTTCTTGCTTGTATAATTCAGTATCGTGACATTGGAATCATAGTACAGCAAAGAACATAGGACTTCAGGTCCACTCTATGTTTTATGAACAAACCCCCAAAATCTTTTCTCTTAATTCATGGTTCTAGTACCCCAACTGGTTATTCTATAAAATGTGATGTCTCTGAAAAGCACTTAAAATCATGCTGCTCTCCCAGGTGCTGGAAAATCAGGAATAACTGCATTGCCTGATCCAGATCTGATTTTGCTTCTAGATGCATCTATACTCCTTTTCCAGAAATGTTACTGAGTACAATGGACCTGAAAAAGGAGCAAAAAATCCCTGCTCCATCTATGCCCCATGATGGGTACCCCAAAGTTGTGCATTAAATAGATTTAAAAGTTGAAAAAAATTAGATACGGTCTAAAGTAGAGTAGAATAGAAAATATAATAGATTATAGAATATATACAGTATTGATTATAATGTAGAATATAGATAGATAGATAGATAGATAGATAGATAGATAGATAGATAGATAGATA